CTCCTTTATTGTTTTTAGAGAGAGCTTTTGCTATGGGCACGTGTGCTCGCCGGAGAGACAGACAGCGAGAAATCAACGCTCGGGTGGTTGGCCATGCTGCAGTCCCATCTCCTCCACTTTCCTCTCAGGATTTTGGGCAGGCATGCATGTGTGCCTGGTGTGTTTTAAGCCACCGGGCCCAGGACTCGAACCGTGGTGGACTATATGGGAGTCCAGTGACGTAACCATTACGCCATCTGCTGGTGCAAAGACGAGCAGTCTTTCGCTGAGCCCCCCACTACAGCCTGTCCAGCCAGCCTGCTGGTATGCATGCAGTGTGCACGGGTCAGCCAGGCGCCGAGTCAGCCTTGGCGTGTGTCCAGCCTGGCTTCCCGGGCGGTCCTGCCACCCCAGCCTGCTGCCCTCCAGCAGACTCCCTGCAGACTTGCCGAGTTTGCTTTATTCCTTTTTTCATGTATGTAAGAATTTTTGTGCCAAAGTAAAGAGAAGGCACTTGCTTATCCCTGAGCGGCCCTGTCCAGCCTTTCCAGGCCGCTCTGGGCCCACACGGCCTGGCGCTCCCTCCGGTCCCCATCGGGCTGTGGGTGCAGAGAGCAGAGTGTCGCTCAGGTTCTGTGAAGGAGTGGCGCCGAGGACGGTGTCATTCAGACCGTAGAGCTCCAGCCTGTCCCTGCTGCAGTTGTGCATGGGGAGTCTCGTGGGCTCTTGGGGACACAGTCCAGGAGCCAGGAGTCAGTTTTCTGGCTCCCTGTCATTCCAGGGCTCCTGGCCGAGTCACCAGGCTGAAAGTAGGAGGAGGGGGTGCAGAGTCCAGGTGGTAGTGTCCCACCCCCGGGGGGACGAGCAGAACAAGGAGTAGGTAGGAGGCGCAGCCCCTGCGTTGGGGCCCAGAGAGGTGGCCGGGCTGATGACCGCGTCCTCCCCGCAGAGTGCCCACATGGCCATGGTGGACGCCCTGATGATGGCCTACACTGTGGAGATGATCAGCATTGAGAAGGTGGTGGCCAGTGTCAAGCGCTTCTCAACCTTCAGCGCCTCCAAAGAGCTGCCCTATGACCTTGAGGACGCCATGGTGTTCTGGATCAACAAGGTGAGCACCGCCTGTCTGCCGTCGTGCCGAGGCCCAGCCTGCCCTTCGTGGGCCTGCGTGGCTTCTGTGTCCACAAGGGTCCCTGCAGACGGGTGCCAGGCTTGCCCCTTCAGTGGCACTGTCTGGGTTCGTGGCTCAGGGAGGCTGGCCGCATGGCGCTCGGACTCCTCCGTGCAGTGGGGGTGGTCTCAGCTCCCCGGGCTCTCGGCAGAGACACTTGTCCTAAACCTAGTTGTGGCCCTCGGTGTTGGCGGTCGACAGAGCGGTTTTAGCCTGTGCGTGAAGGGTCTCCAGGAGCGCGGCCCTGTCAGTAGAACCCCTCTCCCTGACCCTCTCGGCAGTGCAGCTTCATTTGCCAGAAAGGGTCCGTGCAAGGAGGAGGCAGTCGTGCAGTCCGTGCCAGGCCATGGTGCTGGCGTGTCTCAAGGAGCCTGGAGCGAGGCACTGTAGCTATGGCCATGCAGTTGGCATGGGCAGAGCCAGGCCCGGCCCGGCCCACCTGCTGGGGGCCCCGGCAGCCCGGCCCCGTCACAGTGACCGTGGGTCTCTGTGGATGTGGGCAAAGGCTCGTGCAGGGACTTCTGCTAAAGTGGCTGCCCAGCTCATTAACCGGTCCTCCCACCCGAAGGCGGGTGCTCGCAGTGGCCGGTGGGCAGACCCTCACTTGCATCCGAGCTGAGGTACTGGCAGGGGGGCCCCGGGGTTTCTGGTCCCCCGGG